GTGTGTGTGTGTGTGTACAGCATTAAAACCAAACCCATAATCTGTCTCATGGAATGGAGAGAGGAGGAGGAGCCGCAGGGACAGAAGAGGACAGTCAGTTTTTAGAGAGATATGTCCAAGTTAAAGTTGTAATGATTTATTCATATTGAAATCTACACTCACATTTAGCTCTTGTGAGAACTAAACTTTGAACCGCAGCGTCTCCTTTGAATAATAAATCGCTTTTTAACATTTTCTACCTCCAGGAATGATGAAATACAGCCTCAAGATGAGATTACTAGTCTCTCTGTTTAGGTATACTAAGTATAGTGAATCCTCTACCCAGGTGGATCCTCATTAAAAATGTCAATGTTCGACCAGGATCACGCCATGCCTGTAAAAATAACCACAGTGGATTTGGATTAACTCCTCTCCGGGGCCCTCTTCGTGAGTTTATCCCAGTGGGAAACTGCAGTATATAAGGCTGCACTTCATAAAAGCACCAGCTGCATGTTTGAATCTTTACAAGGATCCGATTCTGTCCTTTAGTCTGATGTCAGCGAGTAGTGAGCACTGAGATAAAACTCAGTCCCTCCACAGTATAAATCAAGTAGATAAGACACATGAAGTAATTAAATTGCTGCTGAGTACTAGAAAAAGAGTTGACTGTATTTACTTACAACCCTTACAGTGTTCAAAAACCGTGTTGCTACAAAGCGATGCATAAAGGACCAACTCGACTTTTTTTCCCCCCTCAAACCTGGAGTCAGATGAGAAGATCAATAGCCACCCCTTATGTGTGACAGTTCACAGCCATCTGTGAAATGCATTCTGGTTTTTAGGTTGGGCAGTCTGACAAATGACCTTGCTAGCTTGCAGTTGTAATTGATGAATAATATAAAGACAACACTGATTAAAAACAAGTTTGCTGCAATATGACACGAATATCAATGCCCAAAATGAATTTCTATGAAAGCCTAGTATTCAAGTTAAATGATGGTTCGACCCGTCACTGGACCTTGCAGTGGGTATCAGGCTGTTCCACCATAAATCTACTGGCCCCATGACAGGCGACACTGTTCTCTAGCCCTGACCTAACGTACCTTGAAGCTGTTAATCCTATTGTCACCCAACCAAAGAGCAGATACTCTGACCCGGCTGTATATCTTCATTGTATCGGCTTTGGCTAAACTGCCATGGCTGGCCCCGCTGGCTTGTTAAGCAGTAACATCTTCATGCCCGCTCAGTAGTCCTACTGTCACCCCTACTTATCCAACAGTCTTACTAATAGGTACTAGTTATATCCCGTTCTGAGGTAGTGTGCCGTTAAAGGTCCAGTGTGTAACANNNAGAAATGGAATATAATATTCCTAACTATGTTTCCATTAGTATAATCACCAGAAAATAGGAATTGTTATGTTTTCGTTAGCTTACAATGAGCTTTTCATTTCTACAGAAGCTATGGGTCGCCTTCCGTGGAGTCCCCCATGTTGAACCGCCGTTTCTACAGTAGCCCAGAAGGGACAAACCAAACACTGGCGCAAGATAGTTTCTCCCTCGCGCTTGGGAGGGGAGACTGAAGCGAGGGAGTTGTGATCTGCAACTACACCACCACATGCCACTAAATCTTTAAAGCATCACTGAATCTCATCCCAACCCAAGCAAAGAGCAGATTTATCAGTTTATAAAGCCCTCTGGTATGAGGAGCTTTTCTTGGACCTTATGTTGACCTGTCTAACCAAATAAAGCAACACAGAGTCAAAATGAATGTGTTAGGAGTGTAAGAGCGCAGGGTCATTCGGTGGGCACCCTCTCCGTGTCAGTCAACTGCTGTTTCGCTGAGTTTGGCCCACGACAATTTCAGCATTGTATTGCAGTGTACGAGAACCGCTGCCCTCTGTACCTGCACCCACATACTCAACACAACCCTCTTCAGCAGGTTTTAAGATGAGGGTTTGCTCCTTTTAAAGCTTGTATTTGATTTGTTTAATCCAGGTTATGTAACTATGTTGGTAGATTTCTGCTCCCTCTGCCAGTATTCTGATTAACTGCAGAGCTGGTTGGTGTCTTAGTTTGATTTGGCTAAATTTGAAATCGGGAGCATTTGCTTCTGTTGCTGTTCCGTCTGACAGTCTCGGAATTGATTGGATGATATCCTGAGTTGTCCTTGGAGCTCGAGCAGTGTGTGGCCTGTTTTTAATGTTTTATTGCCGTATGAGAACGACAAGGTCAATGCTATGAGGTCTCCACTAGGATCTGCGTATAGAACCAGTGTGTGTATATATAGAAAGGAACTGACCCATCACAAACATGATAAACTCTGAGATAAGTGTGTTTATGTTTTCACACAGTGTGAATCATCTTCCAGTCTCTTTGGTTCCTGAGCCAAACATAATGACTGTAAACATTTTCCTCTGAGACAAAAAGCAGCCTCTACTCCACAGGGGTTTATACTTCAGAGGATCCGCAGTGACAAACACACACACACACACGTGTCATAGTTAAGCATGGTAAAGGTGCAGGTGGAACACTGAGGTCAGTTAGGAAAGAGTCAAGTGTGTGTGTGTGTGTGTGTTTTCAAACACAGGTCCCTGATGTGATCCCTCCACGGCTCCTCGGCAGGAGGAATTGTCTTCTTTTAAAACGTGATAGCTGTATATTTATAACAGACTGTTGTGGTCCAGTGGTTCCCAACCTCGGGGTCGGGACCCCCACTGGGGGTCGATAAAGCTTCACTGGGGGGTCGCGAGGCCTTCTTCATATTAAGGGGTTTAAGAAATGTAGAAAAATAGCCAGGCAAGTTAAAAAATACACAACACAGACAGAGAATTGTATAAAAAGTTTCCTAAATAGAAAATAATCTACTCGTTTTACACAAACCTCTTCCAATTCTTGTGTTCATTATTTGGGTTAATTGTATAGTTTTGAATAAAATATGGAATATCCATAAAATATGTCACGTCTGTTTAATAAATGATAGAAAAGGAGTCGCCCCATGTTAGAACTCAGCACTTCAACTGGTTTTATTTCCACTGACTGAAAACATGCTCACGTAATAGCACTGTGAGGTACAACCAGATGTCTCACATATTCTCAGTAAGTTAATTGAGTGTGAACCTGAGGAAAAAATGAAGGATTTTTACAATAAACCTGCTTTAAGCAATACTGGAAAAAACAAAAAAACCAACTGTTAGTCATCAAACACACACGTTGGAGATGTTTACAGCTGGAGTCTGGTACGGTCGAGATCGGAACACAGAGTGAAAAAGAAAAAAACAGAACAAACCACAGTGACCAAAATGAAATCAATTTAGTTCAGTTGTGATATTTATTGTCCCACAAGAGGAAGGCAATAAACGTGTTAAAGTTATACATGCAAGGAAAAGTACAATAAAGTGTCAATATGATAAATAACAGCAACAAATTAGAACAAAGATGAGATAAAATACCTGGCTGAGTCGCCAACAGTTGTCGTTGTTTATGGTATATGTGAATTAAGGATGTTTGCTGTGGTTGTTTAACTCAGGAGTCTGTCTGATCAGAAGGGAGGGTGTCAAACTTCTTTAACAGAGCATGCTTTGGAGTCGGTCAGTATCACATTAAAATCAAAATCATTATTGACAAGATTAATTGTTAACATTTACCTTAGTAACGATGAATAAACAGTATCTTATTTAACAGTAATTTCTATTTAACATATACATAAAGCTATAATATGTAACATTCCCTGATAAAAAAACGCTGGTTTACGTTTAAACAGACATCCATCATTTTATTACAGTGACAACTGCTTCACAGCGTCTTCTTATCCGCAGAAGATAACATGCTTTACATTAAGGAGCACTTTAAAGAATTTGTGTAAATAAGAGAATTAAAATCGTCAATATTTGTTCCAACTATCATAAAATAGATTTAAACACATTTATGGCGTCTGTCCTTTATTAACCCAGACAAAGACAGACTGTTGAAACAACATGCTTCAGCCTCCACACTCAAGACTCCTTTGCTCCTCCAAAGTGAGGTTGTAGCTAACTCCAAGGTTAACCCCGTCACTGCTGGTAAACTGAAGTTGTAACATTTATTGATAAACTCTAGCTCATACTGAACAACCGCTGTTTCATTCACCTGACTCACCTGAGCTCCGACGCTTCATCTTTCTCACCCCTCGGCCCACACACACACACACACACACACACACACACCTCAAAAAAAGCTGCAGTCCTCTTCTATTTGATGACAGTATTTACAGTTAGCTTTGTTTTGTCCTGTATTGTGCTGACAGTGTGTCAACTTGGCCGACAAAAACATCTATTTTTGTGTACCAGCTCTTTCTCATCTGCACCCGCTGCATTTCTCCAACACTTGATACTGAATTGTCTGTCTGAATTAGACTGGAGACAACTGCTGGTGGAACAATCCGACTCGACCAATGAAATGGACTGTAGAGTAGGGTTGAGGGTTGAGCTAGTGCTCAGCCCAAACAAGTATCTGGTACAGATACTTGTTTGAGACACTTTTTTACAAGTACGGGTAAAATACGTACTGGTAAATACAGTGACTTTTATTCTCTGAAGCTCAAGTTCTGAGGCTGTCCTTTTCAGTTTTCTAATAAATATATCAACGTCTGATCAACCCATATCAGTTTTTAGGCTTAAATTAACAACTACTGGTCAATCCTGCCCACATCCAGTTTAAGCCCTGCCTATTCTAAGAACAGATACAGATACAGATAATGCTGTACACATTGATCCCTGCTGTATAGTCAGGTTTTTTGTTGTATTTAAAGGGTAAGAGGCAGTCTGTATAAAGGAATGAATGAATCAAACGTATCAGACTAAAATGAGACAGTTGTGGTTACTGTCTGATTAACTGTCCAGCCCTTATTTGGAGTTGGTTTTCTGTGTGTCTGGTCGGCTAAAGAAGTCTGATAATGATCGCTTCTGCTCACCAGAGATTTTACTTCCCGCCTTGACAGCGTTGCCAAGTTGACTCCTGATGTTACAGATGTTATAGCAACGTAACCACTAATGTGTGCGTTTGTTTGTGTTTCAGGATCGTGCTGATCTGTGCTAAGAGATCTCTGTGTGCTGCCTTCTCCGTTCTGCCCTACGGAGAAAGCTTCTACCTCAGGTAATCCACACACAGCTGCACACACAGCTGCACACACAGCTGCACACACACACACACACACACACACACACCTCCAGCATCTGTGTCAGGCAGGATGAAAGAGTTTAGAAGGAGGAGAGCTTAGGAGGAAGAGGTAGAGCTGGCCACAGAAAGAAAGAAGGTGGAGGAGAGGAGAGATTTTCTCACTGGGAGACAAAGAAAAAGGATAAAGGAAGGATTGCTGAGAGAGGGCAACGGGTGGAGGAGGAGGAGGGAGGAAGAGTTTATTAGGACCTGAGGATGTCCTGATAAACAACTCTTCCACAAACAAGAAAGAGGGGATATTTGGGATGATTTTCCCATGTGCCTCAGAGCCCCCTGACTTGACCTGATGGCTTTTTGTCTGGTGACTGACACACACACAAACCGATACACACTTAGGTCTTTACAGACACATTTACAGATAAACATGAAGCAGAATGTACACTTATCATGTTCTCCTGTCCTGTCTGACTCTAACACACACACACACACACACACACAAATACTCAGATACTGCATAAACACACAGATAAAAGTACAGCGTAACAGTGATGTGAACTTATCCTAATCCCTTTCTCTCCAACACGTTCACACACACACACAGTTCCAGACGGTAATCTACAGCAGCCCTTGTTTATCATGGCATCACGCTCAAACTACACATACACACACATTGTAGAAAGTATCAGTACACAAAGAAAAACAAATCTGTTATGTACACACAGATTATTATTTGCACACACACACACACACAACACACACACACACACACACACACACACTTACATACACAATAAGTATGAATATACACACACATGAGAAACATTTGTCTTCCTGGTATTTTTCTCCCGCTGAGGAAGTGAGCTCACACTTCCCTTTTTATCTTGAAGCTGATGCTCCAGTCTGAAAGTGCGAAAGTTCAGCGTGTTCAACAGAACATGTGGCTGTGGTGGGAAGTGAGCTTTGTCCTGCACTCACAGGATTTATTCTGACCCACATGTCACCTCATAGTGCTACAGGCAGGAGGATGTAGGGAGGGAATACTACATTGTCTCTTCTTCAAACTACACTAGGAATCTAAAGCGCCACCAGCAGCCCCTAGAGGCTGCAAAGTTCATTACAGCACACAATTACAAAAATGCACCAGCATTAAAAATGTAAAGTTTGCCTTGAAGGTGCTGGAGGAAAAGTCATGGCGTTGTTGTGCAAGAATATAATAAAAATAATCATTTTTCTTTTTCTTGTGTACAAGTGGAAAGATTTTGGTATGATGACGCTAGAGGACAATCAGGTCACTAAAATTATTAGGATTCATCTACAAGTTTTAATTTAAGCTCAGTCCTCAGTACATTCTGATGAATTCCTCTGTTTGCAATGGTATTAAGAGTTCAGTTTTGTAAAATTATGATCATGTCGATGATTAAGTCAATGTTCAACAATTACTTTTCTGAAACTCCACAATTGCCCTTTGATAAGATCAGTCTTTCAAGATGGGATGGGAACCGAGAACCGCTTCCAGTTGAGAACCCGTTACAGATTGTCCGATCCATCAGAATCGTATGCCTCCGAGCTTATCAGTTCCGTCAGTCTTTCTGACAGTTGTGCATTGCAAACAGTGAGGTCAAACTCATGCGTCTACGCTTCTGGCAATAGGAAGGGGTCATGGCGATAAGGAAGAAATGGTCCACAGTCTGGCTTCATTTCACGATGAAAGATGACAGCAGTGCTAGGCCTACTTTTCCACACAGAAAATTGATCAGGTATCAGTGAGGGAATTGATAATGAATCTGATTGATAATGGCATATCACCATTAGTCTTTAGTTCCCATCCCTATTTAAGATGCTAATAAGCAAAACTCCAACTGCCGCAGTCTAATCCGTCATCCGAATCTTTTATCTGAGATATCCTTATTTTAATTCTTACTGGTAACCTGCAGCTTCTGTTCTCCACTCACCTTTAACTCTGCTGTCTCTCTCTTTCTCTCCCACCCAGTGACCCCACATTAAACCACCCCAGGAGGAGGCACTCATCTGGTAACATCTCCACCACCCTGGAGATGCTGCCGGGGCTGGAGGGCTTTCAGCTGGACACCTATGGCAGGGTAGATAAACACACAACCGCTCACACACACACAGGTGGATGTTGTTACGGTCTGAGAAGGTTTCATGTGCTCAGATCCTATAAATTCATCTCTCTCTCTCTATGTCTCAGTCTGTGTCGTACGCCCAGTTCCTGTACCCCACTAACGCCCTGGTGAGGCAGAAGCCGTCGTCCACCAGCGACCTGACGCTGCAGATTCCCGTGTCCAGGAGCACACACAGCATGCAGGGCAGGAGCTGCCCGTCCAGCAGACTGAACAGCACTGTGGGACTGGACCTGGGTAACACATACCGCCATGTGGTCTTGTGATGTCAGGATTTCACCACGCAACTATTGAGCCAAATTTAGGGTTGATAGCTTGGTGTCCCCACGTTTAGACCGATTTAGACTAATCGAGAGAACATTCATACAGGAAGTAGAGGTAGAGGGGTGTGAGTGAAGCTGCAGAGAGAAAGAATGAAAATACAAAAGAAGGAAAAGTATGTAAAGGGGTAGAAGAGATGACAAACACAGGGTGGAGGGATGGGATGAGAGAGAGAGAGTTGTTGCAGCTGTGCTGGAGTGTTGTTCTCTTTTTATTTTAAACATGTGTGTATACATATGTACACACTGTGTGTCTCATGCTTTTCCTATCATAAACACACACACCCACAGTGACAGAGCCCTGTATTAGCCTCTAAACCTCTCTCTCTATTCCAGAACCTTTCATTAACACAAGCCAGCTGTGTGTGTGTGAGTGTGCACACTGATAGCAGGTTTATATTTTTAGTCCTCTTGTGACGTCTTCAGTCTCTCGAAGCTGCCACATCTACACGTCATACGTTAGGTGTCTAACTGGTCACAGAAACCTCAGCGATCATTTGGTTTTGTTCAGTTAGAAAACTGTGACATCCTCTTCAGGAATTGTGCGATGCAGCCAGCTGTTGGTCAGTAAACAGCTGCAGTGTGTGTAGCCGCCCATCAAACCACAATGTCCAGTTTTATTTCATTTCTACGTGTGTTAAATACACTGCAACACAAAATCAGAGACAGATGGAGTTGGTTGAAGTGGAGCACAGCTAGCAGTTTGCTTACAGTCTTTGTGTCTTTATGTCTTTATGTTAGTCTAAACACACCACTGAGAAAACCATCTGTCTTCATATCTGGCTCTCAGGAAGTCTCACAGGGTGTCTGTAAAGTTAGAGATCCTTCTGAATGACATCTGCCATAAGGGACAATGATTATAATATATATTTATACAAATCAAATCAATCCATATATTCAATTAAACCAACTAACTGATTAATTGTTGACATTTTAAAGAAGAGTACTCCGCTGATTTAGCGTTGCACTTTTATAACATTGTCAGACTCTTGACAGTTCAGAAAATAAACAAATGGAGATATTGTTTTTTTTATTCAAACCACTCACTTCAGGGTTTACTTGAATTCCTTTGACTTGACTCTGTGTTGTCCAGGTGTGGAAGATGTGACAGACTACGACCCTAACCTCCTCAATGACCCCCAGTGGCCTTGTGGGAAACACAAACGGGTGCTGATCTTCGCCTCCTACATGGTAAGAAGACACTAAAGGTGTTCTTTATTATTTTAAGTGTGTGCTCCATGAAAAAAATATTCAACAGTTTGATGTTAAAGCTCCAGTGTGTCTGCTGGCAGAAATGGAATATAACGCATAACTATGTTACTAAGTTTGGTTCTTAGAAGGGGAGAGTCTGCAATTACACCTCTAGATGCCACTAAATCTTACACTCTGGACCTTTAAGTGACCTAAAATGCATGGAAAATGACTATAATTCTGGATGAGCAGTAAATATCCAGCAGCTGTGTGTCTCCAGCTCTGCTGGCTGTTTGACGCCTTTAATGACACACTTCTTCTCCTGTGTCAGAGGACAGGTGGTTTCAGTGCTCTCAAAGCACTTTACTGCTATACTGTAGTACTGAGCCAGGGTACAGATGTTCATACATCCATTGCTGTTTGTGAACAAACCATTCAAAGTTGGCCCCGGGGTCAACTAGTGAGCGAGAGGAACAGACCTGCAGCTCTTTCTACATCCAGACCCTCTCTCCACAGAGCGCTGTGCCAGTGCTGGAGAGGAGACACTGATGTAACCTGCTCCCTGAGTCCCCACCTTACACCTGCACGCTGCCCAAATAATAAGAAAACACAGGCTGAGAGCAACACACACACTTCTAGTGCATCATTAGTGATGGTTGAGAGAGATTATTCTGAAGTCTATATGAAAATCCTACTCTCAAGATCTTGCCAAGTCTATGACATAGGTAGTTTCCTGTTCTAGACGGTTTATAAGCAACAATTGTATAACACAAGTAAGAAACTATATGGGATTTGATCTATTTAATATGATCAACATCTGATCAGATCAGTGCATCACATACCTCACTTCAGATAACGCTGGTGTTTGGTAGTCTCATTTCTAGATCTGGTTCCTTTTTGCAGGGATGAAAATGATCTTTATAAGCTTTGGTGTGTCCAGAAGTTCTAACTACACTTGTGTCACATTAAGGGCAACATTACACCGAGATTTTAATTTCCCACAATGTAAGAAACTGGAATAAAGGAACAGAAAGAAAAACGGAAGGAGAGGAAATAAAGAAGAGATGACAGAAGTGGAGAGGAGAGAAGGTTAAGGGATTATAGAGCTGCTCTGAGAACAGCATAATCACTACTCAGAGAGGAAACATACACACACACATTCATGCACACACACAGCTCTTTTACATCAACATAATTATCCTATAGGCAGCAGCTTAGTTTTATCCCTCCACGGAGGTGATTTAAAAACTATGGAGACACACACACTTTATCAGTACTGTTTAATCCATCAGACGAGATTATTGCTGAGGTGGGATGCTTTGTCACTGATCTTACTGTGTGTGCGTGTGTGTGTGTGTGTGTGTGTTAGAAGAAGAAGAAAGAAGAAGATATACTTTATTGATCCCCTACAGGGAAATTGTTTTTTTCACTCTGTTTTTTTATACACACACACA